GCACTCCATTGACCTGCAGAACGAGAACCCCTGGGACAGCAAAGCCGTCTACATGCTCTACACGGAGCTCTTCACCGGTACCTTGGCCTCTGGCCCCTCATTCCCTTCTCATCCCCACCTTTGGGGCTCGAAGGGGTGGTTCCCATCTGGTTGTGACCCAGTAACGCTTGTTAGGAAGTGCAATTAAGCCACCCTTTAACGAAGAGGTGAAGTTGGGGGTTACTCAGCAGCATCCCAAGGGCTGATCCATCGTCATGAATGACCTCAGTGATGGAGCTGAGCATCCCTTTGGTGTCACCAAGACAGGTGGAGGTCATTGATGCACCCAGAAATGGTCCCAGAAGAACCTCATGAGGTTCAAGGGAGGGATGAGCCAAGTCCAACAACCCCCAGCATGACACACACTGGGCTCTGGTGGACACTGGCTTGAGCACAAGCCAGCAGTGAAGGGTGAGGGAGGTGATCAGGGGTGGTGAGGCCACTCCGAGGGGTCCCGGGACATCCTGGAGAGCATCCAGCAAAGGGCCACCAAGGTGAAGAAGGGAATGGAGAAGCCAGAAGAGCTGGGGCTGGTTGCTCAGAGAGGAGGTGGTAGCATCTCTAGCCTCTGAGATGCTCCAAAGCTGGTGGGTCCCCACCCTCAAGGAGCAGCTCTTGGTGACCTGCTTGAGCAGATGACATTGGAGGTCCCATCCCACCTCAACCAACCTATGCTTGGCCAAGACCATGGGACGGGATGACCTTGGCATTCCCATCCCAGCTCAACGCACCCACGATTGACCAAGACTGAGACCTTGACGTACTTCCTTCCCCCAGGCTTCATCAAAGTCCTGCTCTACATGGCCTTCATGACCATCATGATCAAAGTCCACACGTTCCCCCTCTTCGCTATCCGCCCCATGTACCTGGCCATGAGGTGAGTTGGGCTCCGGCACGGGCTCCGGCTCCGGCTCCGTGGATCCCACCGGCCTCCTGTCTCCTTGCAGGCAGTTCAAGAAGGCGGTGACGGACGCCATTATGTCCCGCCGGGCCATCCGCAACATGAACACGCTGTGAGTGCCCTCCTCCACCCAAATGGGAGGAAAATCCCTGCTTTTCCACTTGGGAAAAGGTGGGAATGATGCTGGGTGGGGGGGGGAGTATCCCCCATTCCTTCCAAATCCTTCCATTGAGCCAAAGAGGAGGAAGGGTTGAGCTGGTGGGGGAGGATGTGGATGTCCCACAACCTTCCCGTATCCCCCCTCAATTCCCAGCGGGAATGGGCTCACGATCCTGGTGCTTCCCGGCACAGGTATCCCGATGCCACCCCGGAGGAGCTGCAGGCCATGGACAACGTCTGCATCATCTGCCGCGAGGAGATGGTGACGGGCGCCAAGCGCCTGCCCTGCAACCACATCTTCCACACCAGGTGGGTGCGGAATGCCGGCACCATTCCGGCATTCCCGGTGTCTGTGGTGCTGGGAAGGGGGCGGGGGGGGGTGGGTGTCTTTGCCATCACCATCACCCCATGGCATGGTCACCCCCATCCATCTCCTCCCCAGCTGCCTGCGGTCGTGGTTCCAGCGCCAGCAGACGTGTCCAACGTGCCGCATGGATGTGCTCCGCGCATCCCTCCCGGCACAGCCGCCTCCGGAAGCACCGGAACAGCCCCCCCCACCCCCTCAGACCCCCCAGATTCCTCAGCCCCCCAACTGTGAGTCTCCTTCTTCCCCCTTTCATTCCCCCCCTTCGTGGTGGCACCGCACCAGTCAAGCCTTGGGAACAACCAACCCGGCGCCCTCTCTCTGCTCTGCTCTCCCTCCGTAGTTCCCCAAGGAATCCTGCCCCCATTCCCACCGGGAATGTTTCCCTTCTGGCCCCCCGTTGCTCCCTTCCCACCAGTTCCTGGGGTTCAACCACCCAACGGTGCCGAAAACGCCGCATCGGGCTCTGGTGCTGCCACAGGTGAGTTCTTCCCCCATCCACAGGCTTGGAGCTGCCAAAGTGGGGCTCCCTCCTCTTCCTCTTCTTCCTCTCTCTCTTCCCCCTCCCCTTCCTCTCCCTCTTCCTCCTTCTCTTCCTCAGCCTCCTCTCCCTCTCTCTCCTTCTCTTCCTCCTCTTTTTCTTCCTCTTCCTCCTCCTCTCCCTCCTCCTCCTCTCCCTCTTACTCCTTCTATTCTTCTTTCTTTCTCCTCCTATCCCTCCTCCTCCTTGTCTTCCTCCTCTTCTTCTTCCTCTTCCTTCTTCTCTTCTTCCTCCTCCTCCTCTCCCTCCTTCTCTTCCTCCTCTCACTCTCCCTCCTCCTCCTTATCTTTCTTCTCTTCTTCCTGTTCCTCTTCCTCCTCCCTCTCTTCCTCCTCTCCCTCTGCCTCCTCCTCCTGCTTTTCCTATTCCTCCACTTTCTCTTCTTCCTCCTCTCTCTTTCACCTCCTCCTCCTCTTTCTCCTCCTCCTTTTCTTCCTTCTCCTCTTCCTCCCCCCTCACATCCCTCTCATCACCACAGCCGCCCGTCCCGCTGACACCGGCACTGCCACATCAGAACCCACAGCACCGGGACCGGGTCTTCCCTTGCCACCACCATGGATGGGAATGCCATGGCCACCCCTCTTTGGTAAGCCAGGGTGGGGGTTTGGGATCCCCCCCCTTCCCCCCCTATTCCCCCAGGATTCTCCTCACCCCTTTCCCACCGCAGGCTTCCCACCGATGCCGGTGCCGCCGCCCGGCTTTGCCGGCCTCACCGAGGAGGAGCTTCGGGCCATGGAAGGCCACGACCGGCAGCACCTGGAGGCACGGCTGCAGTGCCTGCAGAACATCCACACACTGCTGGATGCTGCCATGGTGCAGATCAACCAATACCTCACAGTCCTGGCCACCATCGGGTAACCACAGCGGGGAGGGGAGCCCAAACTACCCCAAATTCCACCCAAAATGCCCCAAAACGTGGAGTTCTCTTCTCACTTCCCCCTCGCAGGTCGCCCCGGCCTGCGCCTCAGCCCCAATCCGGCGCTGGGGAGGCGCCCGCCCCGATCCGTACGGATACCGGCACCGGTGCGTGAGGAGCCAGGGATGGGGGAAACACCGCTTTGAGCCCATCATAGGGGGGGAATTGGGCTGAGCCGGTGCCTTTCCCTGTGCCAGATCCCGGCGTGCCAGCAGGCGCCGAGGGCTTCACCGCGCCGGCGGAGGAGGAGGACGAGGAGGAGGAAGAAGGTGAAGGCTCATCCTCAATGGAGGAACCGGACACGGCGGAGCTGCGCCGGCGCCGGCTACAGAAACTGGCGGCGCCCTCCCATTGACACCGCCGGCATTCCCGGCATTCCCAGCTCCTCACGTGCTGGGAGAATCGCTCTGGTTTAGCCGCTTTCCATCCCTTTTTCCACCCAAATCCGTGTCCGGAAACAAAACCAAACCCTGGCTGCACCCAGAAACCAAACCTGGCTCCTTCCACCGTGGCAAAGAGCCGCTTTCCAGGCCCGTTTTTCCCTGGTTTTCCCTGGTTTTCCCCCTGATTTCTCTACCTCTCCAACACGGCGGATCCGGTGCATGCTGCAGCACCAGCATTGCCTGTTCTGGCGGCACCGCTCCGCCTGCCACTAAGGCCAAGGGGAGGTTGAACCGCGGTGACTGTGGCCGATGCCGCTCAAACAGGCTCCAAATCCCCCATTTTTAACCTCCCCCCCCCCCTTTTGGAGACTCAATAAACCCCCCCCTCCCCCCAGCGCTGGGCCACGGCCAAACTGGTTTATACTGGTTCCTCTCTGCCCCCTGGCGCCAAGAAACGGGGGGGTTTGGGGTGATTTGGGGTCTCTTTTTGGCACCTTCCACCTCAGTTGGTGGCCACCCTTTCACCCACCGTGACTTCAGTGCCTCTTGGAACCCAAAAGGGCTTGGAGGAGCCCAAATATCTCAGGGAACAATGGAATTTCTCGGCATCCAGAGCCTTTTTGGGGTGGAAAGGGCCGGATCCGCACTGGAGCCAGCGCTGGCCGGGTTTGGCCTTGGATTTGAGGTGGGAATAGCTCTTTTTTGGATTTTCTTCTGCTTTTCCTTCACTTTTGGGCTCTCGTCGCCCCAGATGGGAGCGCGTCCACGCGGAATCCCATGGGAACGCGGCGGTGCCGCTGCCGGAGCTTCCCTTTTCCTCCTTTTTCCTTCATCTTTATGCGTTTTGAGCCAAAATCTTGGAGTTTTGTGGCCGGTTCTGGTTGATGGGGAGTAGTTTTGAGTGGATTCCTCGTGTTTTTCTTCGTTTTGGGGTGGCAACCACATGGAGGGGAGGGAACAAAGGCATTTGAGTGACTGGACTGGGGGTGTTAGACCCCAAACCTTGTTTTCTTTGACCCCCAAACCTGTTTTCTTTAACCCAAACCTGGGTTTTTTCACCCCGAACCCATTTCCTGGTCCCTTTTGGGTGGCGTCAGCGTCGGGGACTTATTTAATTTGTAAATAATGTATAAATTTTTAATAGCTGGATTGTAAATAACGGCGGAATAAAGGTTGCAGGAAAGCTGGTGCTGCTCCTCCATCGAGGTCAATGGTACCCCAAAGGTGGGGTTGGGGGGGGGGGGGGATGATGGACACACACATTGGTGGTGGTGCCATGAGCCCCAGCATTGGGACAACAGCACCAGAGGAAGCCATGGGGATGCTACAAGGGCTGAAGCAGCTCCAGGGCCAGAAGGAAACCTGGAGAGAGGCTTGGGATAAGGGATACAGGGATGGGATGAGGAGGAATGGCTCCGATGGGAAGAGTTGGAGGGGGATCTTCATTGGGAGGGCGGTGGGACACTGGAATGGGTTGAAGGGAGAAGCTGCCGCATCCCTGGGCCAGGTTGGACGGGGCTTGGAGCTGGATCCCTGCCCTTTGGGTCTGGATGAGCTCGAAAGCTCCTTTCCCATCCGCAGCATTCCATGATTCCATGATGGTTGTGCAACGGGACCTCCCGTCCAGCAGGGGGCGCCGCGGGCTCTTCATGCCTTCAAGGACCTTTCTTCCCGCCTCACTGGTGGCGTCATCCGCGCACGCGCGCTCCTGAGGCGGCGGGACAAGATGGCGGCGGAGGGGCCGGAGGCTCCGGCCAGCCCCGGTCGTGGCGGCACCGAGGGAGCGCTGGGGGACGGCGGGGACGGAGCTACCGGAGCCCCCGGTGAGCGGGGGGCGGGGGGGCATTGGGGGAGGGGTGAGGTGAGGCTCGGGGGGGTTCTGAGGGGATTGAGGAGGGGGGGTGAGGTAAATCGGGAGTCTTGAGGAGGTTGGGGGGGGGGGGTTATTGAGGTAAATCATGGGGCCTGAGGGGCGTGGGGGGCTGTGTGAGGTAAATTGGGGGTCCTGAGGGGATTGGGACGGGGTTATTGAGGTAAATCGTGGGTTCTGAGGGGATTTGGGGGGGGGTGAGGTAAATCGTGGGTTCTGAGGGGATTTGGGGGGGGGGGGGTGAGGTAAATTGGGGGTCCTGAGGGGACTGGGGGGGGGTGTGAGGTAAATTGGGGGTCCTGAGGGGATTGGGGGGGCGGTTGAGGTAAATTGGGGGTCCTGAGGGGATTTGGGGGGGGGGTTTGAGGTAAATTGGGGGTCCTGAGGGCATTGGGAGGGGGTGTGAGGTAAATTTGGGTCCTGAGGGGATTGGGAGGGGGTTATTGGGGTAAATTGGGGGTCCTGAAGGGATCGGGGTGGGAGGAGGTAAACTGGGGGTCCTGAGGGGACCGGGGGGGGTTCTGTGGGGATGTATGGAGGAGCCTGAGGACAGAAGGAACTCGTGGGGGCTCCTGGGGGGCCTGAGAGTGGCAATGAAAGGGGTGGGTTGGGGATGGGGGCCACAAAGGGGGATGGGGCAGAGCCAGGGGCTGGGGAGTGCTCACAGGGGACCCCAGTCTGGTTTTTGGGGGCACCCTTTCCTTAACTGAGGTGTCCCCATGTGCCCCCCCCCCCAGCCCCAGAGCTGCCCCCCCCGGCCCCCAACCCCCCCCCAGAGGAGCCGAGCGATGCCGCTGCCCCCCCTCAAGCCCCCCCCCTGCCGAGCTGCAATGGAGCCACCGCCCCGCCAGAGCCCCAGGAGCCCCCCCCAGCTGTGGAGCCCCCCCAGGAGCCCCCCCCGGTGCCAGCTGAGGAGCCCCCCCCCACCTACCCCATGGACTTTGAGAAGTTCTGGCTGGCGGCGCAGAGCAACCCCCACGACTTCACAGCCTGGACCGAGCTGCTGCAGTTTGTGGAGCAGGAGGTGAGGAGCCCAGCTTCGCCCCCCCCCAGTACCCCGTTAGAACCCACCTTACCCCACCCACCCCGTTAGAACCCACCTTAACCCCCCCACCCCGTTAGAACCCACCTTAACCCCCCCCACCCCGTTAGAACCCACCTTAACCCCCCCCACCCTGTTAGAACCCACTTTACCCCCCCCACCCCCTTAGAACCCACCTTAAATCCGCCCCACCCCGTTAGAACCCAGCTTGTCCCCCCCATTAATGTCCACCTTAAGTTCCCTCCACCTTGTTAAAACCCACTTTAATCACCCCCACACCATTAGAACTCACCTTAAATACCCCCCCACCCTGTTAGAACCCACATTAACTCTCCCCACCCCATTAGAACCCACCTTAAACCCCCAAACCCTGTTCAAACACCCTTAAACCCCCCCACCTCATTAGAACCCACATTAAGTCCCCCCATTAATACTCACCCTGTTACAATCCACCTTAAATCCCCCTGTTAGAACCCATCTTAAATCCTTACCTGTTAAAACCCAGTTTAAATCCTCTCCACCCCATTATAACCCACCTTAATCCCCCCCCCCGCGCTGTTAAAACCCTCCTTAAATCCCCCCCACCCCATTAGAACCCACTTTAAATATCTCCAACCCCATTAAAACCCCCTTTAAATCCCCCCCACCCCGTTAGAACCCATCTTAAACCCTTCCTCCCCATTCAAACCCACTTTAAATCCCCTTGCCCCCATTCAAACCTATCTTAACCCCCCCCACTCCTTTAAACCCCACCTTAAATCCCCCCCACCCCCCCTTCAAACCTTGGTTACAGCTCCCTTCAAGTCTCCAGCCCCTTTAAACCTGGGTTAAAACTCTACCTTATCTTATAACCCCCTTGAAACGCTCACTAAAGCTCATCCTGAGGCTACAATTGAGTTAAAGCCTCTGTTAAAGCTCCCCTTGACTCCCCCATCTCCTTTAAAACCCTCATTAGAGCCTGCCCCAGGTATTGGGGCCTGTGAAACCTCCCCTAAGTCTCATTTTGAGCCTCCAACCCTGTTGAAAGCTTCATTAAAACCCTTTTTAAGCCACCACCCCCATCAAAACCAGTCCTGAGCCAATGACCCTGCTACAAACCTCACCCTGAGCCTCCAACCCCATTAAAACATCCCTTAAATCCCAATTTAAGCCACCACCCTTGTTCCACCCTTCCTTAAACCTCACTTTAACCCCCAGCATCATTAAATCCTTCATTTAAACCCCTTTCAAGCCATCAGCTTCATCCAAACCCCTATTAAATCGCATCCCAAACCCCCGGCATCCTTCACTCCGGAGGCGATTCCTGCGGTGCCATTCCTAATCCCAAACTCGGAGCAGCTCCAGCTGCTCATCCCTGGTTTGATTGTCCCAAATCCCGGTGTTTTCCCCCCAGAACCACCTCCTGGCTGCCCGCAAAGCCTTCGATGCCTTCTTTTCCCATTATCCCTATTGCTACGGCTACTGGAAGAAGTACGCGGACATGGAGCGGCGCTTCGAGTGCGCCCGCGAGACCGAGGAGGTGCTGAGGGGGGGGGTCAAACCCCATTGTCCCCTTGTTGGGGGGGTAAAAGGGGGGGTTTGGGGGTCCCCAGGGGATGCAAGGTGTCCCTGGGGTGTTTTGGGGGGTCCCCAGGATGGTTTCGAGGGGTTTTTGGGGTGTATTGGAGGGGCCTCCAGGGTATTACTGAGGGTCCCTGGGGTGTTCAAGGGGGCCCAGTGGCAATATGGAGGGGTGCCCAGAGGTGTTTGAGGCGGGTCTCATGGGTGTTTCATGGCTCCCATGGGTATTTCAGGGGTCCTCATGGTATCCCATGGGATTCTGGGGTGGGGCATGGGGTGTTTAGGGTGTCCCTTGGGTGTCTGGGGGGTTCCTGGGGTGTTTGGGGGGGGGAATATGGGGTGTTTTGGGTCCTCTCCGCCCCACTTTTCCCACCAAACCAGCATTTCCACTCCCTTTTGGGGCTGGAAATTCCAGCTCCAATTCCATCTGGAATTGGAAACTCCCCAATTCCAGCCCCGCTGGTGCATTTTTGGGGTGTTTCCCCCCAATTTGGTCCATGGGGCCAGGTCCCTGAACCCATGGGGGTAACATTGGGTGTCTGTTGTCCCCCCCACTATTTCCATCAGGTGTTTGAGAGGGGTCTTCAGTCCATCCCCCTCAGCATGGACCTATGGATCCACTACATCTCCTACCTCCAATCCACCCTGGATATGAACCGTCCCGAATCCATCCAGAAGATCCGTGGGTGAGCATCAGGAGAAGCCAGTGGTGGCTCCAGCAGTGGCTGGTCCTCATCCCCATCCTCATCCTCATCTCTTCCCCGTCAGCGTCTTCGAGGCAGCGGTGGCAGCAGCCGGGATGGATTTCCGCTCGGATAAACTCTGGGAACTCTACGTGGAATGGGAACGGGAACAAGGAGACCTTCGTGCCGTCACTGGGATCTACGACCGTGTCCTCTCCATGCCAACCCAGCTCTACAACCATCACTGGGAGAAGTACGTGAGCCCGGACTCCAGCACTAAAATATCCCTATGGAATATCCCATGGCTTCCTGCTGGGAATTCCCTCACTCCCACCACCAAATCCTTGCTGGTTTTGGGGTGCCCTCCCCCCGCCATCATTATTCCCCCTCTGTCCCGTTACAGGTTCAAGGAACACGTTCTCCACAACCCCCCCAAGGACATCCTATCCCCAGAGGAGCTCCTCTGGGTCCAATCCAAGCTGGCCACCGATCCCGTGCCGAAGCCTCCGGAGCCGGAAGGGACGGAAGCGCCGCCGGGAGAGGATTTACCACCTGGTGTGGAGGGGAAAGGGGCAGCGGCAGCGAACGCTCAGGTAGGCACCAAAGCGGGGATCCCAATAGGGTCCTTGGGGTGGGGTGGGGGGGGTGTGTGTGTTTGTTGTTGGGGGGATCCCACCCACATCCCACTTCATTCCCAGGACGATCTAGACCAGGAAAAGATCCGGGAGCTGGTGATTTCCATGCGGCAGCAAATCTACGCTCAGAACGAGGCGGAAGTCAGCAAACGCTGGAATTTCGAGGACGGGGTAGGCGCATTCGCCCCGTTATCCCCTTAAAACCCCTTCGGAATCCCATCTCCATCCCAATCCTCATCCCTGTTCCCAGATCAAGCGTCCCTATTTCCACGTGAAGCCCTTGGAGAGGGCCCAGCTGCGGAACTGGCGGGATTACCTGGATTACGAGATGGCAGCGGGCTCCCACGAGCGCACCATCGTCCTCTTCGAGCGCTGCGTCATCGCCTGCGCCCTCTACGAGGAGTTCTGGATCAAGGTGAGCCCATTCCCACCTTCCCAGCCCGTTTGCCCTCCTTCCACCTCCTCAAATCCCTCTTTAAAGCAGGAAAACCCAAACCCCCAACCCCCATCGGGGTCATCTGAGGGTGTTCCCCCCCCCTCCCCCCTTCCCCCCCCCCCTTAAAAAATGAACGGTTTTAACTCTCTTTTTCCTCCTGGAAACGCCGTTTTTTCTAACACCCGTTTGTTTAACTCCCGCTGCTGCTTCCCCCCCCGCCCGCGGCACCTTCCCCCCCTGCCTAAGAGCCCGCAGGAATGTCGGAGCAGAGGGGCCTTAACGTGAGTGCCCCCCACCCGATTGAGCGCATCCCATGCGGGGGGATGCTCACGCGTCCGTCTCTCTGGCCGTGTCCGTGTTCCCCCCCCAAAATCCTTGCCCCTCTTCTTGGGTCCACTTCTTTATTCCCTGCAGTACACCAAATACCTGGAAAACCACACGGTGACGGGAGCCCGGAGCGTCTTCCAGCGGGCCTGTGGCTATCACCTGCCCAGGAAGCCCAACATCCACCTCCTGTGGGCTGCCTTTGAGGAGAAACAAGGTAGGGGAGCCCTGAAAGGGACCCAAACCACCTCAGTTTGAAGCAAAACCACCACGTTCCCTTCCTCAACGCTCTGTTTTGGGGCGGAGAGGGTGTGTTTTGCCCAAAGTCGCTCCATTTTCAGACTGAAATGCCCCGTTTCACCCCAAAACGCTCCTTTTTAGGGGTTGAGGTGATGGATAACAGCACAAAAGATGGACTTGGGGCTTAAATAAAATTTTATCCCAAATTGCTGCTTTTTGGGGGGGTTGAAATGTTCAATTTCACCCTCAAATGCCCCATTTCACCCCAAAACTCTCCTTTTTGGGAGTTGGGATGATGGATAGCAGCACAAAAGACTTGGATTTGGGGCTGAAATGTCACATTTCACCCCAAATCACTCCTTTTTTGGGGGGCTGAGATGACGTTTCACCCTAACCTGGTTCATTTTCAAGCTGAAATGCCACATTTCACCCCAAATTGCTCCTTTTTTGGGTATGAGATATTTTATCCCAAAACAGAGGGGTTTTGGGACAGAGGAGACCTATTTCACCCTAAAATGCTTGATTTGGGGGTCTAAAATGCCACATTTCACCCCAAAATGCTCCTTTTTTTCGGGTCTGAAATGTTATATTTCACCCCCAAAACACTGTTTTCAGATTGAAATGCCATATTTCATCCCAAAAGATTGTGGTTTTCGGTCTGAAATGCCACATTTCACCCCAAAATGTTCGGTTTAGGGTCTGAAATGCCACATTTTTCCCCAAAATCCTCCTTTTTTTGATCTGAAATGTTATATTCCCCCCCAAAAAACACTGTTTTCAGATGGAAATGCCATATTTCAACCCAAAAGACTCCAGTTTTCAGTCTGAAATGCTGTATATTCACCCCAAAACGCTCCATTTAGGGTTTGAAATGCCACATTTCACCCCCAAATGTTCCATTTAGGGTCTGAAATGCCGTATTTCAACCGAAAAGACTCCGTTTTTGGGTCTGAAATCTCATATTTCAACCCAGAAGACTCCATTTTTCAGTCTGAAATGCCGTATTTCATCCCAAAAGACTCCGTTTTTCGGTCTGAAATGCCATATTTCAACCCAAAAGACTCCATTTTTCGGTCTGAAATGCCATATTTCAACCCAAAAGACTCCATTTTTCAGTCTGAAATCCCATATTTCAACCCAGAAGACTCCGTTTTTCGTTCTGAAATGCCGTATTTCATCCCAAAAGACTCCGTTTTTCAGTCTGAAATGCCACATTTCACCCCAAAACACTCCATTTAGGGTTTGAAATGCCACGTTTCACCCCAAAATGTTCCATTTAGGGTCTGAAATGCCGTATTTCAACCCAAAAGACTCCGTTTTTCGTTCTGAAATGCCGTATTTCATCCCAAAAGACTCTGTTTTTCAGTCTGAAATGCCACATTTCACCCCAAAACACTCCATTTAGGGTTTGAAATGCCACATTTCACCCCCAAATGTTCCATTTAGGGTCTGAAATGCTGTATTTCAACCGAAAAGACTCCGTTTTTCGGTCTGAAATGCCACATTTCACCCCAAAACACTCCATTTAGGGTTTGAAATGCCACGTTTCACCCCAAAATGTTCCATTTAGGGTCTGAAATGCCGTATTTCAACCCAAAAGACTCCGTTTTTCGTTCTGAAATGCCGTATTTCATCCCAAAAGACTCTGTTTTTCAGTCTGAAATGCCACATTTCACCCCAAAACACTCCATTTAGGGTTTGAAATGCCACATTTCACCCCCAAATGTTCCATTTAGGGTCTGAAATGCTGTATTTCAACCGAAAAGACTCCGTTTTTCGGTCTGAAATCCCATATTTCAACCCAAAAGACTCCGTTTTTCGGTCTGAAATCCCATATTTCAACCCAAAAGACTCCATTTTTCAGTCTGAAATGCCATATTTCAACCCAAAAGACTCCATTTTTCAGTCTGAAATGCCATATTTCAACCCAAAAGACTCCATTTTTCAGTCTGAAATGCCATATTTCAACCCAAAAGACTCCATTTTTCAGTCTGAAATCCCATATTTCAACCCAAAAGACTCCATTTTTCAGTCTGAAATCCCATATTTCAACCCAGAAGACTCCGTTTTTCGTTCTGAAATGCCTTATTTCATCCCAAAAGACTCCATTTTTCAGTCTGAAATGCCACATTTCCCCCCAAAACGCTCCATATGGGGTGTCTACGATACCCCCCCCCATCCATCCACCTCCATCCCGGCGCCTCCCCTCTCCCCCCATCATTCCCCCCGCAGGGAACGTGGAGGAAGCTCGGCGCATCCTGCGCTGCTTCGAGGAGACGGTGCCGGGCCTGGCCATGGTGCGGCTGCGGCGCGTGAGCCTGGAGCGGCGGCACGGGCAGCTGGAGCGCGCCGAGGCCCTGCTCACCGAGGCCATGGAAGCCAACGCCGGGCTGCCCCTCGCTTCCTTCTACGCCGTCAAACTGGCGCGCCAGGCCTGCAAGGTGCAGCAGAACCTGGCCAAGGCCCGCAGGGTGCTGGTGGAGGCGCTGGAGAAGGAGCCGGTGAGGGACTCGGGGAGATGGGAAGGGGTTTTTTTTTGAGGGGGTGGGGGGTAAATGGGGGTATGGGGGGGGTGGATTGGTTTGAATGGGGGTTTAGGGGGATTTAGTGGGGGTTTAGGGGAGTTTGGATGGGTTTAATAGGGGTTTAGGGGGGGTTAGGGGCTTTGGAAGGGTTTTAATGAGGGTTTAGGGGGGTTTAGTGGAGTTTTAGGGGGGGTGGAAGGGTTTTAATGAGGGTTTGGGGGGTTAATGGGGGTTTAGGGGGATTGGGAGGGGGTTAGATGGGTTTTAATGAGGGTTTAGGGGTCCTTAGTGGGGGTTTAGGGGGCTTTGGATGGGTTTTAATGGGGGTTTAGGGGGATTTAGTGGGGGTTTAGGGGGCTTTGGATGGGTTTTAATGGGGGTTTAGGGGGATTTAGTGGGGGTTTAGGGGGCTTGGAAGGGTTTTAATGAGGGTTTAGGGGGGTTTAGTGGGGATTTAGGTGGCTTTAGGGGAGGTAGGGGGTTTGGAAGGGTTTTAATGGGGGTTTAGGGGGGTTGGGAGGGGTTTGGATGGGTTTTAATGAGGGTTTAGGGGGCTTTAGTGGGGGTTTAGGTGGCTTTAGGCTAGGTAGGGGGTTTGGAAGGGTTTTAATGGGGGTTTAGGGGGGTTTAGTGGGGGTTTAGGGGGGTTTAGTGGGGGTTTAGGGGGGTGTATGGGTTTTAATGGGAGTTTAGGGGGCTTTAGTGGAGGTTTAGTGGGTTTAGTGGGGGTTTAGGGGGCTTTGGATGGGTTTTAATGAGGGTTTGGGGGATTTAGTAGGGTTTTAGGGGGTTTGGAAGGGTTTTAATGAGGGTTGAGGGGGATTTAGTGGGGTTTAGGGGGCTTTGGAAGGGTTTTAATGAGGGTTTAGGGGGATTTAGTGGGGGTTTAGGGGGGTTAGGGGGTTTGGAAGGGTTTTAATGAGGATTTAGGGGGATTTAGTGGGGGTTTAGGGGGCTTTGGATGGGTTTTAATGAGGGTTTAGGGGGATTTAGTAGGGTTTTAGGGGGTTTGGAAGGGTTTTAATGAGGGTTTGGGGGTTAATGGGGGTTTAGGGGGGTTGAGAGGGGGTTAGATAGGTTTTAATGAGGGTTTAGGGGGCTTTAGTGGGGGTTTAGGGGGCTTTGGATGGGTTTTAATGAGGGTTTAGGGGGATTTAGTAGGGTTTTAGGGGCTTTGGAAGGGTTTTAATGAGGGTTTGGGGGGTTTAGTGGGCTTTAGTGGGGGTTAATGGGGGTTTGGAAGGGTTTTAATGAGGGTTTGGGGGTTAATGGGGGTTTAGGGGGGTTGAGAGGGGGTTAGATAGGTTTTAATGAGGGTTTAGGGGGCTTTAGTGGGGGTTTAGAGGGCTTTGGATGGGTTTTAATGAGGGTTTAGGGGGTTTGGGAGGGTTTTCTTTAGGGTTTAGGGAGTCTTAATGAGGGTTTGGGGGGGGGGTTAGTGTGGGTTTCGGGGGATTTGATGGGTCTCCAAACTTTGCTTCTGGGGTTGTGGAGTGGGGTTTTGGGGCCCTTTGAACATGGGCTCCCCAAACCCCACTGGGGGTCCCCCCAAACCCCGCTTGGGGCACCCAAAACCCCATTTGGGGCTCCTGAAACCCCACTTGGGCTCCCCAAACCTCACTGGAGACCCCAACCCCCACTTGAGGCACCCCAAAACTCCATCTGGGGCTCCTGAAACACCACTTGGGGTCCCCCAAATCCCATTTAATGCTCCCCAGACTCCACTGGAGCCCCCAAACCCCACTTGGGGTCCCACAAACCATACTTGGGGCTCCCCAAGCCCCACTTGGGGCACCCAAAACCCCACTTAAGGGTCCCCAAACCCCTTCTTGGGGCTCCCCAAGCCCCACTGGAGACCCCAAACCCCACTTGGGGTCCCACAAGCCCCACTTAAGGCTCCCCAAGTCCCACTTGGGGTCCCCCAAACCTCACTTCAGTCACCCCACAAACCCCACTTGGGGTCCCCCAAACCCCACTTGCCCCCCCCCCCCAAACCCCCTCTTGATGCCCCCCCCCGTGACCGCCGCGGTGCTGTGGGGCAGGACAACGCTCGGCTCCACGCCAACCTCCTGGAGATGGAGTTTGGGGCCGATGTGGGGCAGAACGAAGGCAACACCATGCGATGCTTCGAGCGGGCGCTGCGCAGCCCCCTCCCCGACGAGGCCAAGCTCATCTTCTCCCAGCGCCGCGTCGAGTTCCTCGAGGACTTCGGCTCCAGCATCCATAGGTCAGGCTTGGGGTGGGGGGGGGGATAGGGACACCCCGAAAAGGGTCCCTGTCCCCGTCCCCCCTTTTTGAGCTGTTGTTGTCCCCCACAGCCTCCTCACGGCCTACGATGAGCACCAGAAGATCCTCAAGCAGCACGCGGCACGCAAGAGGGCCCCCGAGAATGGGTGAGAGAATGGGGGGGCCCCTTGCACACCCCCCCCCATTGTGTTCCCACCCCACTTCCACCCATTCCCATCCCCTCATCCCTCAGTTTCTCTGTTTCATCCCAATTTCTCCCCTTTCTGTCCCCACTTTCCTTTATCCCCCATTCCCGTCTCTATATCCCTGATTTCTGCTCTTTTATCCCAAATTGTTCCCCTTATCCCCATGTTTACCCTCTTTATCCCAAATTGTCCCTTCTATTATCCCTTTTAATTCCAGATCTGTCCTTTTATGCCCATTTTCCCCCTTTCATGCCCATTTTCCCCCTTTCATGCCCATTTTCCCCTTTTATGCGCGAATTCTGCTCTTTATCCCTGACTTCTTCCTTTTTATTCCCGGATTTCAACCCTTTTCTCCCAAACTTGTCCTTTTAGCTCTATTTTTCCCTTTATCCCCCATTTCTGCTCTTCTACCACATATTTTTATATCCCCATTTTTTTCCTTTTACCTCAGTTTTTCCCTTTTTATCTGATTTCTGCTTTTCATCCCCAAATTCTTCCCCTTTTATCCCCAAATTCTGCTCTTTATCCTGGATTTCTGCCCTTTTTTCCCCATTTTTTCCCTTCTATCCCTGATTTCTCCCCTTTTATCCCCAGATTTTCCCCTTTCATCCCAAACTTGTCTTTTCATCCCTGAGTTTTCTCTTTTTATCCCCAATTTCTGCCCTTTGATCCCCATTTTTCTTCCCCTTTTATCCCAGATTTTTCCCTTTTTAGCCCCAAATTTCTCCTCTGTGATCCCAAACTTGTCCTTTTCTCCCCATTTTCCCCCTAACTTCTCCCTTTTCTCCCCCATTTCTGCCCTTGGCCAGCTCGGAGGAGCCCGAGGACAAGCGGCTCCGGCCCGACGATGGCTCCGGCATGGGGGGAGGCCCGGTCGGGTTCTCTTCTATGGGGGGGGACAACACCTCCAGCCCCTCCTACAGCTACTGGTACCAGGTCAGTTTGGGGGGGCCAGGATGGGGGGGGGGATCGATTTGGGGGTCCCAGTGATGCTGATGACCCCCCATTTTTCCCCCCCAGCAAGGATACGGCTCCTACAGCTACCAGTCCCCATGGAACTACAACCAGTACTACCCCCAGACCTGAACCGGAGCGCAGCCCCCCCGAACATCACCCCCACCCCCCTTTTGTACCCTCCCAACCCCCCTTTTCTGTACATTTTTGGGGTCCCCCCCTAATTTTGGGGGGGGAAGTGTAAATAAATGAAGTGGCACCACCAGCAGGAGCCCCCCATACTTTACTTTGGGGGGGTCACAAGGGTGTTTTGGGATCCCCGGTGCGGTTCGGGGTCACAAATGGCTTTGAACCCCAGTTTTGGGGGGACCCATCCCAATGCACAAATAGCTTAGTTTGGGGTTCCCCACTCTGTGTGAAGAACTTCAGTCCCATTTTGGGGTGTATTTCAGGGTTCAAGATGTGTTTTGGGGTGTATGTGGGGGTGTTCTGGCGTATCATGGGGTGTATCTGGTATTTTGGGGTGCATTTCAGGGTTCAAAGTGTGTTTCAGGGTGTATCGGGGGTATTTTGGGGTGTATTTCAGGGTTCAAGGTTCGTTTTAGGGTGCATCATGGGGTGTATCTGGGGTATATTTCAGGGTTTAAGGTGTGTTTTGGGGTGTATCATGGGGTATACTTGGAGTATTTTGGGGTGTATTTCAGGTTTCAAGGTGTGTTTTGGGGTGTATTTCATGGTTTGGTGTATTTTGGGGTGTACTTCAGGGTTCAAGATGTGTTTCAGGGTGTATGTGGGGGTGTTCTGTGTATCATGGGGCGTATCTGGGGTATTTTGGGGTGTATTTCAGGGTTCAAGGTGTGTTTCAGGGTGTATGTGGGGGTGTTATGGTGTATCATGGGGTGTATCTGGGGTATTTTGGGGTGTATTTCAGGGTTCAAGGTGTGTTTCAGGGTTTATGTGGGGGTGTTATGGTGTATCATGGGGTGTCTCTGGGGTATTCTGGGGTGTATTTCAGGATTCAGGGTGTACTTCAGGATATTTTGGAGTACCAGGATGTGTTTTGAGGTGTATTTTCTGGTGCTCTGGGGTACTTCGTGCTGTGTTTCAGGGTGTTCTGGGGGATGTTCTGGGGTGTCTTTCAGCATTCAAGATGCATTTTAGGCTGGGTTGGGGTGCTCTGGTTTATTATGGGCTGTCTCTGGGTTATTATGGGCTGTCTCGGGGTGCTAGAAGCCCTTCTGCAGCAGCCAGCGCCGCAGCTCCGCACCCCAGTGCCCCCTGATCCGGAGCCTGCCCGTGACCTCATTCACCTGCACCTCCGGCTCCGCCACCCCCAGTGACTGCAGCAGCTCCCGCACCTCCCGCTCCAGCGCCTGGGGGGGGGGGGGGAACACAAAAAAAGGGGGGGTTTAGCCCCCCAAAACTTCAAACACCCCCCCCCCCGCATCCCCAAGGCCTCACCCAGAGGTCCCCGTCCACGTGCTGCAGGTCGGTGAGGCGCCGGTTGCCGCTCACCACCCGCTCGTACACCGGGAGGTTGTGGTATCGGGAGCGCTGGATGTAGTAGGGCAGGGCTGGGGGGGGGTCTGGGGAGGGGGACATCCCATAATGCAGCGTGTTCCCCCCCCTCAAGGGGTAATAACCCACCCATGGGGGTAATAATGCCCCCCCCAGGGGTAATAACCCACCTCTGATGGGGGTAGATACCCCAGGCAATAGGAGATACCCCCCTTGTTGCTCCCCCTCAATAAATACACCCCCCCCCATGGAATAACCCCCTACTGCCCCCCTAGTAAATAACTGCCCCATAAGATGACATTTAAATTTACTTGCCCCCCCCCAACATAAATCACCCCTCATACCCAATAAGTAACTGCCCCTCAATAAGACATTTAAATCCCTCTATTCCCCCCCCCCAAGTAAATACCCCCCCAGTAAATAATTGCCCCTCAATAAGACATTTAAATCTATTTCACCCCCCCCCCATAAATACACCCCTTCCAGGGGCAATAAACCCCCTAAATTGCCCACCCCAAGGATAAATACCCCACTAAGGGGTAACTTAACTGCCTTGTTCCCCCCCCCCCCCCGGCTAAATAGCCTGTTCCCAGTGAGTATATACCCCACTAAACTACCCCCCATGGGTATACATACCCTCTTGGTAAATTCCAACACCCCCCCCCCCCCAAATTGCTCTCAAAGGGTAAACAGCCCCCCCCTCAGGGGGGGAAATACCCCCTAATTGCCCGCCCCCCCTTCCCCAGTAAATACCCCCCTTTAGGGGTAGATCCCCCACCCCAATGCTATTACTTAGGGCTCAGCACCTCCATGGGGTGCCACTTTGCCCTGAATGGGGGGGGTATTAAAGGGGGGGGGGGGGGTAACTGACCTGCTGGGGGGCTCCACCCCGACGGGGTGGGGTAGGAGGGGTGCGGAGGGGGGTCGGGCACGATGCTGGGGGGCAGCAGCCGCTCCACGAAGGCAAAGTCAGCCGAGGACTCCTCATAGGGGGGGGGCTGCGATCCGGGGGGGGTCTGGAAAAGGGGGGGGGGGGCAGCAGCAGATACCCCATGTTCTTGTGGGGGGCTAAATCCCGCCCCCCCACCTCTTTCTGATCCCATATTCTCCCCTCAGGACCCCCCCATTTCCCTTCGGAATCCCTTATTTTACCTCAGGACACTCCTTTTTCCCTTCAGAATCCCTTATTTAGTTCAGCCCCCCCTCCATTTCCCTTCAGAATCCCTTATTTAACCTCACGACCCCCCCATTTTACCTCAGAATCCCTTATTTTACCTCAGACCCCCCCCCCATTTCCCTTCAGAATCCCTTATTTTACCTCACGACCCCCCCATTTTACCTCACAATCCCTTATTTTACCTAAGAACTCCCCCATTTCCCTTCAGAATCCCTTATTTTACCTCAGCCCCCCCCCCCATTTCCCTTCAGAATCCCTTATTTTACCTCACGAGCCCCCCTTTTTCCCTTCAGAATCCCTTCTTTTACCTCAGGACCCCCCGGTTTTCCCTCAGTACCCGCTTCATCTCCCCCCAAACCCCCTTCCCCACATTCCCCTTTACCCCCCCTCAATACCCCGTCCCTACCTGCACCCTCCTGCACCCCACCGCCCTCCCGAGCACCGGCACCAGCCGCCGGCCCAACGCCGCCATCGCCGCCATCTTGGCAACGCCTCCTTCGTCCTCCTTCCCGTCGTCAGCACGCACGCACGCGTGACGTCAGCACGCAGCCGCGCAGGCGCAGAGACGCCCTTTCCTGAGGCGCGTTCCCCGTCGGCTGAGGTGAGGCCGCGGTCGGGGGGGCCTGAAGCGGGTTTAGGGCGTTAAAGAGGGGCTTTAAGTGGGGTTTGGGGTGTGGGGAGAGCCCCTGAGGGGCTTTAGAGGGGTCTGGGGTGGTTATTGGGGGGGGCTGAGCGGCGGGGAGACCCTTTGAGAGGCCTTAAATGGGGCTGGGGGGGTTATATGGGGTAAATGAGGGTCTGTGAGGCTTTGGGTGAGTCTGGAGCGGTATTGGGGAGCTCATAGTGGGGCTTGAGGTGAGGGGAGGGCCCCTGAGGGGCTCTGTGGGGGTCTGGGGTAGATATTGGGGGGGTTGAGGTGTGGGTAGAGGCCTTGGGGGGGAATATGGGGGGTGTCAGGGGTGCTGTTAACGGTCTGGGAGGTTCTTAGGGGGATTTGGAGGGGTCCTGAGGTACAGGGAGGCCTTGAAGGAGCCTGCAGGGGTGTAAATGGGGCCTGGGGGAGGTGGGGGGCTCTGGAGGGTTGTTGGGGGCATCAAAGTGGGGCTTGAGGTGTGGGGAGAGCCGCTGAGGGGCTTTAGAGAGCACTGGGGTACCATGGGGGTTATTGGGGGTCTTAAGGGGGTGTCTTGGGGGGGGCCTCAGGTGCTGCTGGGCTGGGGCACAGCCCCTTTGGGCTCCAGACAGCCCAGCACAGGTTCATTGTCCCAGCCCTTTGTCCCCAGGGCTCTTTGCCAGGTGCCAAAGTCCTTTTGGGCAGGGAATGGCAGCAGAGAAACCCCCTTAACCCCCCCATAGATGATTGGGAACCCCAGACCAGCCCCCATATTGCACTCCAGGGTGATTCAGGAGCTGTGTGGGAGCAATTACAGGCCCCCCCCCATTTTCCAGGGGTCCCCCATTTATAGGAAGGGGGGACACCCCTAACCCCCCCCCCTTTTGACCCCCCCAGCCACCATGCAGCTCTTCATCCGCGCCCAGGCCCTCCACACCGTCGAGGTCTCCAGCACCGAGACTGTCGCTCAGCTCAAGGTGAGCCCTTACCCAAATCACGGGGTACCCCCCCAAAAAATAAACCCCATTTTGGGGGTGATTAACCCCCCCACTTTGTTCCCCCCCTCTCCAGGAGCGGGTGGCAGCGCTGGCCGGTGTCCCCCCCGAGGACCAAGTGTTGCTCTTCAGTGGGACCCCCCTAGACGATGACGCTGTGCTGGGACAGAGCCCCCTCCCCGAACTGGCCACCCTCGACCTCTCCTCCCGCCTCCTCGGGGGTACGTTTTAGGGGGGGGGGTCACAATTATCGGGGTGCTCATTAACTTAATGACCCCCCCACACCCCCCAACACCTCATTTTCCTCCCCATCTTTAGGGAAAGTCCATGGCTCCCTCGCCCGCGCTGGCAAAGTGAGGGGCCAGACCCCCAAGGTGAGTGTTGGGGACCCCCCCGCTATGGATTTTGGGACACCCCCCCCCCCCCACTGTTTTGGGGACCCCCCCTGACCTTCCTCCTCCTGTTCCCTAGGTGGCCAAGCAGGAGAAGAAGAAGAAGAAGACGGGCCGGGCCAAGCGGCGCATGCAGTACAACCGCCGCTTCGTCAACGTCGTGCCCGGCTTCGGCAAGAAGAAGGGGCCCAACGCCAACTCCTGAGCGGTGGCACCAGTAAACGGGCACCGGATTGGGGCCAATTCCCAGCACTTTGGGGCTTTTTGTGGGGCTCGTTTTTCCTTTGGGGGTATCGAGGGGGAAACTGGTGCTTTGATGGGGTTGGCGGGGTGCTGAGCGGCTCTTGGGGCCCTCAGTGAGCGCTGGGTGTGAGAAGGGCATTAATTAGTGTTAATTGGGGGGGGGTTAATTAGAGGGCTTCAGCACGGAGCTGTGTGCAGCGTGGTTCTGTATGGGACGGGCGGAAACAGCCGAGCGGTGCCGGAAATACCCGAGTCGGGCTAGGGCGGGGAGATCCGAGTGGGCACGGAAAGAGTCGATTGGCTGGGAGAGCCGAGCCGAGTCGGGACGGAAAGAGCCGATTGGCTGCGACAACCGAGCCGAGCGCTGCCGAAGGTGCCCGAGCGGCGATGATTGGAGGAGGCGGTCGAGGGGCGGGGCGAGCGGGCACAGGAGCCGACGCAGGACGGAAGCTGCCCGAACGCTTCCGAGCGCTGCCGGAAATACCCGAAGTGGGGAGAAGGACCAGTGGACAGAGGAGGGTTCTAAAGGTGAAAGGTTGGGGTGTGGGGTCAAAGGTCGTGTTCAGGGTCAGGGTTACAGATGCTGCATCCCCTTATCCCTCAAAAAAAAACCAATTTGAGACCAAAAGAGCCAAAATCAGAGTTTTTTGCCCCAATTTGTGGTCCCACCCCCCTTTCACCCCTCCTGAATCTTCCGCTTCTTGCCCTGTTTCTGTGGGGTGGGGACCGTTTCCATGGTGTCCCACAGCGCATCCTCCTCTTCCTCCTTCACCTCCACCGGGGGGGACGGCTCCTCTTCGCTCTGGGGGTGGCAAAGGGGGGGGGGGTGTGTAACAGTGGACAGGGACCCCAAAACCCCAGCCTTAGGGTACCCCAAACCCAGGGTGGGGGGGGTCTCACCTCCCAGTCGTGTTGGGTGCTCAGCAGCAGGCAGGTGAGCTGGGACTTGAGGTAGACCTGGGGGGCAGCAGCATTAATGGGGGGGGGGGGTCTCACAGGGGTTGGGGGGGGTTTGAGGGGCTCTCAGGGAGTACTAGGGGTGTTTTAGGGACTCCTGAGGGTGTCTGGGGTCTCAGGAGCTTTAATGAGGGGGATTTGGGGGGGTCTGGGGAGGGTTTAAGGGGTCCTGGGGCCATTTGGAAGGGGCTGGGGAGGTTGAATGCAGCTGGGGGGGGTTAGGGGGAGTTTAGGAGGTGTCAAAGGGGGGGTTGGGAAGGGTAAAAGGGGGTGAGAAGAGAATTTGGGGGGTCACAGAAGAGGATTTGGGGGGTAAAAGGGGGGTCAGAAGAGGTTTGGAGAGGAGGTCAAAGGTCACCTTGTGGCACAAGCGCCCCTCCCCCAGGTGGTGCAGGCGCAGGAAGCGGTCGAGGCCGCAGGAGGCCAGGAGGGGCCCCTGGGGGTGGCACTGGAGCCCCCGCACCCCCCCCGCGGCCCCCTTCAGGCAGCGCAGGACCCGCCCTGGGGGGAGGGGAGAATGGGTGAGCTGTGGGGGGAGGGGCAGCCCCCCCACACCCATCCCCCTCAATGTAACCCCCTCTCCCCACTATGGGGTGACCCCACCTCACCTTTGCGCAGGTCGATGACAGCCACGTCCCCCTGGGCGCTGCCAACCACCACCGAGCTGGGGGGGGGGGGGGAAGTGAGGGGGTCAGGGTCACCCCCAGCCCCACAGAGCACCCCACAGATACCTCCCCTGCCCCATAACCCCCACAATTACCTCATAGGCCCCCACCAGGAGCAGTACTGAGCATCTCAGGGTGCCCCATAATCCCTCGGGGTTGTTCCATAGCTCTTTAAGGACCCCACTATAGCCCCATAACCCTATGGCCCTCCACTGACACTTTCAGGGCCCCCCCCATAAACCCCAAAGAGGCACTAGTGACCACCCTCCAGGTCACCCACAACAGCCCAGGGTCCCCCATAGCCCCCCAGGTCAGCCCATAACCCCCTCAGACCCCCCCATAACCTCTTCATTAACATCTTCAGAGCTCCCCATAACCCCTCCATTGACACCTTCAGAGCCCCCCATAACCCCTCCATTGACACCCTCAGAGCCCCCATAACCCCTCCATTAACACCTTCAGAGCCCCCCATAACCCCTCCATTGACACCATCAGAGCCCCCCATTAC